CAGAGGGCAGAACTTCTTAATGTAAAATAAAGTGTGCTCTCCCTAGCAAGGCCCACCTTGGCATTCCATCTCCAACATCACTAGTGTTTGGGATAAAGGTGCCTAGTGATTGTTAGAAGAACTCTGCTTTTACACACACACACACACACACACACACACACACACACACACAGAGAGAGAGAGAGAGAGGGGGGGGGGGGGACAGAGAGGGCCAGAGGGAGGGAGGGAGGGAGAGGGAGGCAGGGAGAGGGAAGAAGAGAGAGAGAACAAGTGCAGGAGGAGGAGGAAGAGGAAGAGGAAAGGGGACAGACAGACACTAACTCTGTGTAGCCTTGGCTGGCCTTGAACTCACAGAGATCCTCCTGCCTCTGTCTCATGAGTGCTGGTATTAAAAGCATGCACCACCATGCCTGGCTTGAATCAATATATTTTATGATCCGTGTCATTTAGACTTGTTGTCCATGTGCAAATTATTATGATTTCTTAGAATTGTGGCTCAATAAGTAAGGTTCTAAGAAAGTGAGAGTTCTAAGTTGAAAAGTTAGGGCTAGAGATGTAACTCAGCCAATAGAGTGATTATTTAGCAGGCATGAAGCCCTGGGTTTGATCCTCAACACCTCACAAAACTGTGTGTGATCATACATGCCTAGAACCCTAATACTTAGGAAGTGGAGAAGGAGGATCTGCAGTTCAAGGTCATCTTTGGCTAGCTTGGAATACATGAGGGCTTGTCTCCGAAAAAACGGTAAGGGACGGAGCACTATGAATTCCATGGGTTGCTTCATTTGATCTTACTGCTTGGCGAAGTACATGACATTTAGTGATATTTATATTAACAGCAATTTTGTTAATAAATGCATATTAGAGATATGGAACTTTCTTCTTGTTGCTGTTTTTTGAGACAGGGTTTCTATGTGTAGCCCTGGCTGTCCTGGAACTTGCTGGCCTTGAACTCACAGAGATCCACTTGCCTCTGCTTGGATTAAAAGTGTATCACTATGGCCAGGCAAAGTATGGAATTTTTAACACTTAAAGATATCTCAGTTGTGAGACGAGCTTTATGCTATTTGAAGAATTTCAGATCCATGGGGTACAAATTATAAGCATTTATAGAGCTAAAAGATATCAATTCTAGAAAATATTACAACCTAAATGAAAATAAGTATTAATAACCTTGAGGGGGTAAAAGGAAATAAAAAAAGACTGAAGGAAAAGAACATTTCGAAAAGAAAATCAGCTATCTCCTAAAAGAGATTAAAAAAAAAAAAAGCCAATAAAACATGAAAGATACCGATCCTCAGTGAATTCTTGTAAATTAAAGGAAAACATATTTCTTTCATCAGATTGCTGGACGATAAAAGCCTGGCCACACAGCGCGTTATCAAGGGCATGAAGATATGAACACAGCCTTGTGCTGTTGGGAGAGCTGTCTGTACATTTGGCAATTTGACTTTTAAAATTAAACATAGTACCTCTTTGACTCAGCAAATCCATTTGAAGGAATTTATGAAAATATTTGGACTGTGTGGCAAGATCGGAGCAGCGAAGAGCCAAATGCGTCAAAGGGAGGCTTCATAATGGCCAGTATTGGTACTTGTGAGACATGGCCACACAGCAGGATAGCAAAAGACCATACAGGGCTGTGTCCACCTGGGAAAACTGCCCACAGCACATTAAGAAAGAAGTTGGCCACAAGATGGACGTGTTTAAAACTGGATTGTGTTGATGGTTTAACAGTTCTGTAAATTTACTAAAATCGTGGCATTCTTCAAATAGCTGAGTTGCAGGGTATATGATAGTTGCAAAATAATGTTATGAATATCATTCTTGTTTAACACACACACACACACACACACACACACACACACACACACAGAGGACACACCCAGTCACACTATGCTGCCCTGGGTAGAGGTGGTGCTTTTGTTCTTTATCTTTTCCAGCTTCTTGCAATGGGCTTTTACAGCCAGCTTTGGGGTGGGAAGGGCTCATCTGAAGGACACCAGGTGACAAACCTCGGTGTAAAGTTACTTAACACCAACTTACCAACATTAAACATCAGAATGGCCACCTTAGCCTTTGCTCAGCTCTTATTAGTTTGTCTAAACTCCAACCCTTTGGGCCAGAACCTTATTTCACTAACTTCCCTTGGTTTATATTTAGAAAGATTTATATTACAGACAGCTGTGTTACTAACAAGGCTGAGACTACAGGTTCCCAGTTGGGACATACTTTAAGTCCCCTGCTGTAGCTCCGGTGGAAACTCCCAAGAGCCCTTTCTGCTCACATTCGGTTCCCACTGCAATCTTGGCAATGTATTATGCTAATGTGGAGTCTCCAGGGCCCCTTGTAGGGATTTATTTCAAGTGAACTCATTTCATGTCTTTCTTAGGCCATTGCAGGTGGTTCTCAGCGAAGCCCAGGGGCCATCACTTCTCCAGGAGAAGTCTTTAGGCAGTCTCTTGAATTAACACTCAGATAGGGGTGTTTAGCTTTCTGGCTTTGGCCTGAAGCTAAAGTGTTATTGAAGACAGTCCAGATATGACTTCACCCATCCCTCACCAGTGCAGAGCTATTTGTCATCTGGCAATTGTTCTGCAAGGGCAAGAGGGACTAGGTGGATTGGAAGGTGCACAGGGGCTCCTGCTCAAAGGACTAGGGAAACATCATTTTGTGAGCATGCTAAGCCCCAGATGTTGCCTGGAGGAACTTGAGATGAACAGCCATAATGTTTGCAGTGTCCGGGCCAGGAAGAGCTCTGGGAAAAGCACAGAGCACCATCAAACCTGGGAACCCGTCAAAGGGTAATGAATTCTTCCCTGAAGCTTTCAGGATCCGCATTCATTTGGCAACTCAAACTGTGAGCATCATCTAAAAACCCCAGAGATGCAGACGGCCAAGTGTTTATTGCCAAAGTAAAAGGAGAAAATTAAAAGTCCCTCTTAAGCACAGCCACATTGCCAGCTGCAGCCTGAGAAGCACACGATGAAATAAGGCTTCTGCTGACATGGGCTGCAGAAAGATGCTGTGCCTCTGTTTCCCCAAGAAACACAGGCCTACGGTCATTGGCCAGGGCTTGAAATCTGTGTCAGCCTAAGCCAGAAATACTATCAAAGAGGGAGAGATCAGATGCCAATCTAATCAGCGTGTTTTATTACAGGAACGGTTCGGTCTGTGAAGGCAATAGTCTACATTCCCCTTCTACAGTTGGCTAACACTTTGTGATTCTCACTCCACACGTGGAAGCTCATCATGTGTCTGTGGACAGACAGACAGACAAACAAACAGACAATGCTGCTGCTGGAGTCAGGACCCCTGATGCAGACAGTGGAGTGACAATTCTTTCCCTTGGCTCCTGGGCCAGCTATTGCATGAGCTCCGATGAGTCTTGCATAGGTAGGGAAGGCAGTTTCGAGAACACTGGCATTGAAGAGGAGGAAAGGGCACCAAAAGCTAAGCAGAACTTACATCCTATGGGTCGACTGAGCAATCACCCAGGAAGACAGAGTATGGCTGAGTCTGCCCTGGGAAGCTAAGGCCAAGCGCCCACGGGGTTTTGCTCGGGAGCCACCATTCTTGGTTGGGTCCCAGTGTCTCATCCAGTCAGTACTACAGTGTGAGCTGTCTAATCCCAGCCTCTTCTTCTGAAAATGGGGGTGCCACCTCACTGGACCGTTGGGAACAAGGAATGTGTCGAAACATGCCGAAGAGACCCATGAGCGCTGCCCGACACAAACAGCTGGTGTTACCTGGAATTTTCTAGTTTTGAAAGAGAAGGGAAAGTAACCCTTAGATGGAGACAGTGAGGGCTACCTGTAGTATTGAATTCTGAAGGCTACTGAAAGGACAGTGAAAACGGGTAAAAACAGGTAAAATAACTCACAGGCCAGCTCTCCGGGTACCTTTTGGAGAGGGGAGACAAAGCCATGGCTGCAGATGGCTGGACAAGAGGGTGCTGTACAGGAGAGGAAAGATCGTGAGCTCTCCAGAATGGCAGGCTGACGTGGGGTGGTCACCACACCCGAACCACCCACAGTCCTGACAGCGTATTTTTTCTTGGATATCCCCTTAAGGACCACTGTCACAGAGCTGGTGAACTGGACCCTTTGAGAGCTTCCTCTCTAAATGTCGATTTTCTTGTAAAAAAAAAAAAAAAAAAAAAAAAAAATGTGGTCTATCAGTCAATGGCTCCTAAGTAAGTGACCATGAGGGGGCAGTAGGACGGATGAAGAGGTTTGAGAAGTCACATAAAATTGTGTGTTGAGTTCTGCTCTTTCAGAGTTCAGGCTAGATAAACTTCCACCGATACCTTTTCACGCTATACCTGACGGGCTCCAATCTAAGGATGCCATAATAATCTCGATGATTTTTGTTTGTTGTATATGTATATAAGCATGCTCGTGTGTGTGGGGATGTGGGGGGGCGCCTGGAGACCAGAGGCCTCCCTCAGCTGTCCTCTGCCTTATTTTATGAGATAGGGTCTCTCACCAAACCTGGAGCTCACTGGCTTGGCAAGTAGGCTGGGCCCAGGGACCCTGCCGTCTCTACCACCCCAGCACTGGAATTGCTGGTATGTACCATCATGCCTGGTACATGTAGGTGCCAGGGATTTCTACTCGGGTTTTCCTGTTTGCATGGTGAGCACCTTCCCAGTTAGCCATCCCCAGCCCCCCTGACTTCCATAATTACTAAAAGTCTAGGCAAGCTAACCACCCAAATGCATTCTGAACACTGGGAAACACACTGGGCCTTGTTCATTGCTTTTTGCATGAAAAATACCCTTATTAATAAAAAATAATTGAATTGCCTATAAGTACTCAACATGTTCACATAATTTAATTGATGAATTATAATCCACATGTTCCTGGGTTTGCTTGTTTTTCTTTTTTAATCTTTGAAGGAACTTTGAAGAAAATAAATGCACGTTAAAGACATTCAACGGTTTGTTAAATGTTCTTAATGGTTGGTTATCCTCAGGGTTGAGCAAGAAGAGGCAGTCATAGATTTATGTCCAGGTGGACTGAAATTATTTATTCCCCTAAACATGTCAGGCAACATAAAAGACAGCTTCTATAACCAGTAAACAACCTGGCAGGAATGAAAACCAGCAAGAAAAATCACTGACATATTTCTTCCAGCCCAGGATTCCGACAACTTATACCCCACAAGGGAATTAGAGAAGAGGGGTTTTGTTTTGTTCTGTTTGCTTGTGAGTAGCTTAATGTCTTAAGTTCTGTATAATTTAAATAGCACCACAGGAAAAACTCCCTGAGCAACTAACAAACATTATTTATTCTAATTCCTGTTTACATCAAGTCCAATATGACGGCTGGCTCTGGCTTTCCACCACGGAGAGAAAAGAAAATTACTTTTAGGCTATTTACTCATTCTGCAGATTTCAATAGACCCAGCCTGACGTTACAGCCCAGGAAGTTCTGTTTTTCACTGAATACTGTAGCTTTTGCCTTCCTCTCTCTCCCGCCACTTCCTGCCTCTCTTCTATCTCCCTCCTTTGTTTCTGGGCTTCCTTCCTGTCTGGCCCCTTAAATAAGTACCCCTTAATGGCCTCTCTTTCTTAAATACATATCCTCTTTGAGACGGTGGGTAGCACTAAGGCCATCATACATCACAAAGCTCTTTCCTCACTGCACAAAGCTCCAGCCAGGGGACCAAGTCAGTCCTCAACACAATGGCCTGAAAGCCATGAGACAGTCATCCAAGGTAGCAATCTGTCCCTGCCTGAGTTCCAGGAAAAACACAGGCCTCCAGACTAGAAAGCTATGGTCTCTTACTCTAAACTGGAATGATTTCCAGATTCATTGATGCAAAAAGCATACGCCTTTCTGGGAAATGCAGTAAAAAAGAGGTACGCTTTCAAATCACTCCAGTCTCCTGGGGCTCCCCCAAATCATTCTGACAGAGAGGAAGAGAGAAGTTGGCAGGTTTCAGCACATTAATAGCAAACGACAAATTAGTAACTACGTTCTTTAATCTTCAACATTCATAATTGCACAAAGTATCACTGATCATTTAAATAATACATGTCAAATAATCTAATGAAGAAACTGGTAAAGTGGAACGTTGGTTAAGCAACAGCGTCAGAGACTAGCGCTGAGTGCGGGATCAGATCGGTCTCTTGGAAGCCTGACATCTTTGCTGACAGACAGGGCAAAGTGCTGTGGAGAAGCACATGGAAATACGTTCAGCCTGCTAGAGCACACCACAAAGCACACAGCAGTTCTAGCAGCTTTGGTCAGCTCGGCTTTGCACAGCTATCTCTAACACTACCATCCAGTGGCGGGAATGCAGGGGAGGGGGGAAGAGAGGAAAGGAGCCCTTTTCTTTCAAGGTAGAACTGGGTGAGTGAGGTCTGACCTCCTGCCTAGCCCATGTTAAAGTGGCAAACCAGAGCTTTGCTACTAAGGAAAATACTTTCCTTGGGAATGTATATGTGTCAAAGATGACTGAGAATCTTGTCCATGCTAGGGGAAAGTCAAATGTGGAAAAATCTACATTTTTCTATCTATGCTGTAAAGAAAATAAAAAGCCAGTGCATTTTGGCATTAGCAAAAGGCTGAACTAAGTTCTCAGGCAATAAATTTATGGGGAAACATGACAGGCTTCTCATTAAAGCTATGTGTACGTTGGCTGAATTTTATACAAGATTCTCGAATCTTGTGGAAAATTGGGCACGGCTTGACATCTGAACAATGTCCCTGGTTTGCTTGATTTCTAAAACGTTGGAAAATGTTGCACTTTGGAAATCAAGTAGAGAAGGATAAACACATTTTGAAACAGAGCTGGGTTGACTGAGTTATTTTTCCATATGTCTCCATGAGATATTTATTACGTTTATTTCTCTTACAAACACAGCCCTCATTCTAGAAATACTGTGGGCCTTTTTCTTTTTCCTTTTTTTTTTTTTTTTTTTTTTTTTCAGTGGTGAGAAAATAGTACTGTTAAGGCGAATCTTACCCGGCAGCAGTAACCACCTAAGGATAGGCAATTTTCAGTTGGCTTTTCAGAAGCTGGTTGCCATGACAAAGAGCACAATTTATTCCTTAGTCCCTTATCACAGCTCCGATCACAGACCATAAAAATGAACAGGGCTCTTCCTTCCCGTGACTTCATTCGCCTCATCCTTACCTGAGGTCTTTTGTTCCCCCAATTAAATAGAATGGATGTCAGTCATCTAGCAATTCAATTAATGCCAATTCAAAATTCCGGCCAAAACCAGAATCTATAATCACAGCCTCCTAATCACAGCTCAGTCGTGAGAATGAAAAGCGAGCAGGAAATTGCACTAATTACTCAATTAGACTAATACTGTATTTTTAAGCAAGGGCTTAAGGGTTGCCAGCCCTGACAAAGGACTGGGGTCCTCCTCACCTGTGCGCTCCCCTTGCCCGAGTGAAGCTGAGGCTCTCAAGTGACTGTGATTGCTATCCATCTAACACAGCTGGACTCAAATTAGGCAACGGGAAATTTTAATTGATATAAACTCACTATGGAGGAGACAGCTGCGGTGGCCTTCCATGGCTCTCAGCACAGACCTGTATGGTGCTGGGGACCTTCCTGTACCAGGCCCTCCTTCCAGTGTGTGCACAGCTAAGCACACACCCTTCTGGTCTCAGGGACCATTTAACAAGGGGTCACTTTTGCATGGAGCCTCTCTGTTAACCCAGTAAGGTGGAGCCATGCTCACAGACCCCTCAGCCTCAAACTCCCAGCAGAGCCTGCAGAGCACAGGCTAAGTGACTCAGCCAGCCACCTGACCCAGTGAGGGGCCTGTGGGCTGCAGGGACCCAAACTCATCTGCACCCCTGGGGACAGCAGCTCGTGCCAGGCCCACCTGGAGAAATCTTTCATGAAATTAACAGTGAATGAAAAAGGCTGTCTGGGAAGAACACACCAGCAGATGTGACGAATTATTTACAAAACAACACTGGTTACAGACCAAACAGGCTGGACCTTATTTAAAAGAGAAGCATCTTTCTTTTTTGCTATTCACTTTCAAAAGACGTGACTACCCTGTAAACAATAGGGAGGACACTAGAGCCTGTCAAGCCTCTGGTTTTTGTGGTCAATCTGTCAAAATCCTTCCTGAAGCGAAGGGAGAGAGCCGCAGACCGAGACGGGAGCCTGGCCTGCCCAGGAGTGTGGCTTTTCTCTGTAACAGTTCTGAAAATGACCAAGTTGGGAGTGCTGGGGATTCCAAAAGGAGGGGACATTTATTTGACTAAACGACACAAGGTCTTCACTTCCAGGGTTTGCCTTGCAGGTGGCCGCTGCTGAGTGTGCGGGGATTGGAGTGGCCAGCAGAAGACCCCGGGGTCAGGTTCTGCCCACTACGGCCAGCCGGCCCCTTCAAATCTCTTCCGGAGGAGTTATTCTGGTTCATTCGGCCTGAAGGGAGCAAGAAAGAGGGACAGAGATGCAAGAAGGGTTCCAGGGACAATCAGCCAAGAACACTTTCAAGCTAATGAAGCCCTCCACAGCATCTACTACGGGCCAGCCATGATCTATTTCTTATCCCAGAGAAAAGGGATGGAGAGAAGCCCACACGGTCTATTTTCTTCCCCTTCACTATCCTCAACAAATCTGGTCCCTGTCACTCCTTCCTTGGTAAAGACAGGTGTACAGGGTGAAGCCGGTTGAGGAGAGGGAGGAGTAGACAGCAGCAGACAAAGGCAGGCAGTCGGGGCAGGAGGCTCCCAGAAGGAAGAGCAGATCTCCCAAGAAGGAATGTGACCGGCCATACCATGCCTAGGACCCACGTTCTGCTGGCTGACTCTCCACATTTGTCCCTAATGCCTGCTCTTTGTCATGCACAGAACCTCAACTCCTTTAAGAATATGACATAAGGGTACTTTCTGTACAGTGCACAGCTCAAGTCCCACCAAACACAAAGGCCAGAGTCTCTTACTGTGACTGTCTGCCAGGCCCTGGTCGGCTTGCAGACAACATTCTATCTTTTTTAAGTCTTCTGGGGTAAATCTCCACTTGTTCTCAGCCGGCAGGGGTGGCATTTGGGGGCTGGATCGTTTCCGGGCAGAACCAAGAGGGAGGGCCTGCTGGCAAGAGGCTGGCAGGGAACCAGTGACCAATCCTTCTGGGAATTTCTGAGCTAGGACTTTCAGACCTAGATGTAGGAGAGCATAAGAAGAAGCCGGGTTAACATAGTGAGGCCACAGCAAAGCTAGAAGGGCTCTATGCGTCTTCTATGCCTTCATCACCAAGCTGGAGATCTCAAGTCATCCTTCACTGCTGTGTCAACATGTAAACTCGAAATGTCAGCTGAGAATGCCATAGGAAATCTTTTGCTCGAGTGTTTAGCATTCTAACAGAACCCTGCAGTAATGCTGTTATCTTAGGAATTAAAACCATGTGCTTGCTGGGCCTGGTGGCCATGCCCATAATCCTAGCAGTCACGATGCTGATGCAGAAGATTAAGAGTTTGAGGCCAGCCTGGGCTATGTAGCAAGATACTGTCTCAAAAGCTATCCAAGCTCAAATCAACAAAACCTACAGTGCAGAAATGGAACCCGCACTCACCCCCACCCAGAACAAATCCCGCACAGACAGACATGCTGACTGACAGAACTAGAGGACATTTCACATGCCTCCTGCTTCCTTCCAGACAGCGTGGCTCTCTCTCTCTCAGGCCCACACTGAGCACTGACAGGTGACAGAGAGGATCTGAAGGGCTGCTGAGTGCAGAGAGCAGATGTGTGAGGCAGACTGCAGCTTTGCTCACCCCCAGAAAGCATGAAGAGGTTTTCAAACCCGCGTTCGCACATGGTAGTTGCCGCCTGGCTCGCCAGCCTCTCATCCTCATCATACAGGACGATGATCTTGCCATGAGCATTTTTCTGTGAGGTGAGTTAAGGCTCCGTTTTTTGGAACTAGCAGGACCTGAGTCCTGATATGCACGAGTTGCATACCTTACATGTTCTAATTCTTCACTTTTACAATACTGGAGAGGAAAGATTACAGCCTCCATTTTACATTTCTATGTCCAATACCGACACTGAAGGCTTCCTTACCATAAAACAATAGAACCACCTGGAAGTCCACAATAAAGGGGCAGTTTAGGAAGTAAATCTTACAAGGAGATATTTATACTGTCAAAAATGGAGCTTACAAACAGCTTACATTAGCATGGGACAATTTCAGATGTGAGTGGCATCTACAGTATGGCTTCAATTTTGTAAAAACAAATTACACATACACATATAGAAAACAGAACAAAATATACCAGCACTGTGAGAGGAGATGATACTCAGTTGTCTGATAATAGGATAGATTAGTTTTCTTTTTAAGATTTTCAGTATTTTTCTGCTTGTATGATTTTTATGAATTGAAAAAAATTAATTTTAAAATAAAAATGAAAATAGAAAAATATTTACTGCTTAAGTTCAATTCGGGCAAGCTTTTTTAGAGGACCCACAGTTTTAGGCCCACTCTGGACTGACTACATACCCTTAGCCTAGTGAAGTATGGTTTAAAAGGATCTGTTTTCACAGTTAGGACACTCAGCAGCTGCTAGGATTCTAAAATCTAAAATACACTACCCTGGTTAGTGTCAAAGGTCTTTTGCAGTTTTCACAAAAGAACATGGCTCATGGTAAGTTTGAGTCTTAAAACTCTGATAACATCCAACTCCTTAAAATGCCACAAAGGATACATACTCAAGAATGTCGTTTGAATAGGGGTTCATTGTCCTCGACAGAGTTGCGATTGGGTAGCTGTAAGCTACAAGAGAGGAACAAGATTAGGACGCCTAGAGCCCTCTTACAATTTGGGCCCAATTCCCAGCTGGCTTGCAGTCTAAGAGGTAAACATACTTTCAAAGTCAGTGAGCCATAAACCTAAATACATGAAAGATACAAAACCAGAAAGGATGCCATGAACAAAGAGGAAATGGCTTCCCTGCTCCGTGCACTGGGCCTGTGAGCCCCAGAGAACATGGACAGCCTCTCGCGGGCGTCCGCTGTCCCCTTCTCTTACCCCCAACAATGTGGCACTGCTGATAAGAGTCTCTGTCACGCACATCTAGCAGCAGGAAGGGGCAGTCCGGATAGGGCTTGTCTTTACCACTGGGCTCTTCTTTTTTTACTAGCCCTTTGTCTACATCCAGTTCCCCAACGCCACTGATGACGCTGTAAGCAGAAAAGGGAAAAGAAAAGAAAAGAAAAAAAAAAACCAAAAAACAAAAAAACAGATCATCAGAAACTAGTCAGGAGTCAGAGGTTGAAAGGTCAAATGCATCTCTTCAGAATGGTGAGATGAGGGTTCCTTGTCTTCTCAAAGGGCGACCCCAAGAAAAACTAAATGGGCAGAGTGCCTCAGTTCTTTCCAGAAGGCAGGGTTGTGCAGATGCTGAACCCCAAGAGGGGTTTGGCATGCATGTATCATTATCCTCAGAGAATGCATGTCAAGTCACCAGAGGGCCCTGGGGTAGAAAGTTTAGAGCACATGGCACCTTCAGCAACAGAGGCAACATTCAGAGAAAAAAAGGGGGTGGTTAATCTAAGGAGTAGTTAATAATATAAGAAAACAGGATAAATGGGCAGAGAACAAGATTTATAGGACAAGAGAAATGCAAGATATCTCTAAAGTACCAGTAATGTTTTATATATTTCACATGCAGTCTCGGACCACATGAAGACATTCCAGGCAAACGAGGACAGAATATAATGGCACTCCCATAAGACTTCACTGTGGAGTGATAGGAGAGCCATTTTAGTTTAAGTATACTTTCTGATGCTCCATCATGGAAAAAAAAAATCATCTAATGACACATTTCTCAGAATGTCCCATCATTAAGTGATGCGTGACTGTACTTACACAATGCCCTCCCAAAGTGGACACTGAACCTTATTTTCAATACTTATCTGTACTTACTTCCAATTTACACGGGGCGATGATGAGCCTGAAGAGGCTTTTAGAGTTAGTGGCACTCATATAACGAGGCAAGGGAAGGGCTGGGATTAAAATAAGGGAGTCCATCATGGACGGTCCTGCTTCTAAGGTCCCTTAAGAAGCATGAGCTGCCACCTTGATGTCATAAAGAAAATGTGGCAGAACATCAGAGGAATAAGAAGGTACCATGGACACAATGGCAAGTGGCGAAGGATCTGGAAGGAAGTAATAAGATGCTATCATCCCAGGACATATTAAAGTGCTGCTAAACCAGAGGTGAGTGTGTGCCTAGTTCCTCTCCCGTCACAGACTTCACTATCTGCATTTAAATTCAATAAACACTAGGACGGTGCATATTTCACTGAAGCAAAAGGGAAGAAAACCTATTTGATATAACCTTGCACCCTCCGAGGAAGCGCTGATAGCCTATATCTCTTCTTTTTCAATCTTTCTTTTTGTGTGCAAGAGCAGCTGACGAGCCATCGCTCCAGCCTCACCTAGATCTTCTTGAACGCATTTTTATGTAGCCCTTTTCAGAAAAGGAGCTATGAAAATAATAACATAGTGGCACCAATGATGGCAGTTCTTTCGCTAGAAATTTCTCCAGCTGGAGTGTTTTGTGAGGAGATGGGATGGATACATGCTAAACACCAACCTCATACTCAAGTTAATATTTGTGAGCTGTAATGCATGCAATAAGGTCCTTGTAAATAAAAGGGATGAGCCATGTACAGTTTTAGAATTAATGCCAATGGCTGCTGCCAATCTCCTCTGTACTTCCACGCCAGGGCATTCTGTGGCTCTGGGTCTCTCTTATTCTACACAGGACAACACCAGCTTCAGCAGACAGGATAGAAATACAGTCCCTGGAAAAGCTAGACCTTAGTTAGCCTGAGAAGAACGGAATAAAAAAGTGAAAACTTGTACATGCCTATCAATCCACTCTCACATTAACTCAGTAACATTTGAATAGAAAGAATGTAAAGGGCCGGGATTGGAATGTGGGATGTCCCTGCTGCCAGTCCCGACTCAGGTAAGCCAATCTCTGCAATGGGTCAGAAGAGCACAAAGTCAGTGCTTGAACGCAACCCAAGTACCTCTGGAGAGTGGAGCGACTGGAGTCCCCTGCTCCTGTGCTGTTGATGAACTGGACAGGACTGGGCGGCTGCTCCCCAGGGCTCCCGTTCCCATTGGTCGTGGCAGCAATTTCAGTGTCGGCCTCTGAAGCTGCAGGATCGCTGTCTAAAATTTGCAATGAAGAAATACTTAGGCAGGCGAGACAACTAACTCAGTGGGAGAAGGCACTTGCCATCAAGCCCGGATGACCACCACCCGGGGAAGGGAGACCCGGGCTGCCCTCTGACCCCTCGGGTGCACTGCTGCCCGTGTGTGCCCACCCACTCACCCCTGCGCCCACACTAATGGAGATTCTTTAAAAATTAAAAAGAAGTAACCAAATGGAATGTCAGGATTGGAATTTACTCCTTTGGTATTTCCACTGAATCAAAGCTAAAACAAACAAACAAACAAACAAAAAACCCCAGTCATATCACTATTGCTAAGTTATTCTAAAAGTTGTAACACAGAGAGCTCTCAAAATGCAGTGAAATAAACCTCAGGAGTTTCTCAAGACCCCTTTGTGCTGTCTACTAAGTGAAAACTGTTTCTTACGATGTTATTTCTGCCCACCCCCACCCCAGTTGAGGACAGAACCCGTGCCCTGAACTTGGTAGGCAAGTGTTCTACCAACCGAGCTAAATTCACAACCCCTGTCATTTTTTAAAAAACTGTATTTATATTTGCTCTAATGGTACAAAGAAGGCAGTGTAAAAACTCTAGCACTCCGGCAAGCGTCAAGGAAGTGGCACCACATTTATTAGCAGTCATAATTTTTCCCTGTTGCACATGCTGTCAAAGTAAATACATTTGGCAGTCATACTAAAGAGTGTTCCTCATAAAACAATGATTAATAATTTTCATTAAATCTCACCTTGAACTGGTGTGGTGGCTCACAGCTGTAATATTAGCACTTGGGAGGCAGAGGCAAGAGGACTTATGTGTTTGAGACAATGAGTCAGTCCCAGGCCAGCCAGAGCTACAGAGTAAGCTGAGAGAGAGAGAGAGAGAGAGAGAGAGAGAGAGAGAGAGAGAGAGAGAGAGAGAGAGAGAGAGAGAGGGAGAGACTGACAGAGACAGAGAGACACAGAGAGAGACAAAAAGAGGGAGAGGGAAGGAGAGGATGAGGGAGGGGAGGGAGGGAAAGAGAGAGAGAGCTCTCTCTGATGCAGGCATTTGCCTTTGAAACATTCTGTGTGCTGAAAAGATGGTTTCCTAGGTACCTCTACCCTGTGGCAATGTTAGGGGTAAGGGTTAGGATGCTTGCTAGGCTCTACCTGAGCCAGCCATTGTTGCAGGATTTTTCTGGTTAAGAAAATCTGGGTCCTTACACTCGTGTATTTGGAGACACCGTCTCAAAGATGAATTGAGTGAGCATTCTTTTAAAGAAAACAGTTGATGTTATTTCTTGTCTGTAGCTAAACCTTGAACAAAACCCAGATTTTGGAATTGGTGTTTGGCACCGGAAGGTGAAGGCTGAAGAGCCTCCCCATAAGGGACACATTTCTATTTCTACAACTCAGTCAAATGACCTCTGACAACTAAGCAGTGTCCAGTATGAAAGCACACAGGCAGAAGTCGCACGAAACCCTGAGGCAGACCGAAGGACTTTAATATGACAGAGCATCAAAGTCCACTGATAACGGTCAGAGGCCAGACTACAGCAAACCCGATCGGGCTGTCCATGCCGGTGAGCAGGTGATCAACAGGAGGATGGCAGCTGGGAGGTGGGCTGGGAGGAAGAGAGAGGATGGGGAGGGAGAAGGAGAAGGGGCAGAGGGAACAAAGTATCAACAGTTGACTGGCTAAAGTGCTAGTGAAATACCCCTCCCTCTCCCAACTAACTATAGATCGCTGTGAGCCAGATTTTCTTCACAGACTTCAACCCAAACAGCACATTGCACCGACTGAAGGCAAAGAGCGGACATCAGAGTCAGCTGTTGTCTATTAAAACAGACAGGAAAGAAGTTTACAAAATACTTAAAGCCACTTGGTAAAACTCTGGGTTGGAAATGTAAGGAATTCTTTAAAATACAAAAATATGATTTTATAGGTTGGAAATAAAACTCAGTGAAGAGCATGTGTTTAGTATGCTTATAGTTTGATCCCCAGGACATCCCCTCACCCACCACCCCCATATTTTTGTTTGTGATGGAGTTAGAATCGGCACTTTTATAAGTGGCAATAAGTATTGCTTACATTTTCAGGTTAAAATTTTAATATACTTGGCTGGGTAGTGGTGGTGCACGCCTTTAACCCCAGCACTCGGGAGGCAGAGACAGGCAGATCAATCAGTGTGAGTTTGAGGCCAGGCTGGTTTACAGAGTTTTCCAGGTTAACCAGGGTGACACAGAGGATCCTTGTTTTGAAAAACAAACCAAAAAAAAAAAAAAAAATTAATATAATAAAAAATTTGAATTTGAATAAATACAATAATTTTTGTACAGTAAATACAAATGTTTTACAATGATAAAAATTTGAATAAATACAGTTTACATATACCAAGTCTCTCTGGATCTTAAATAATCTTTAAGAATATAGAGGGGATAAAACTATAAAATTTGGGCCTGTTCTGTTCTAACAATACAGTGAAAGAAGAAATAGAAGAAGCCTAACTATTAAAAAAGTACTAAAATTTAATTTGTATGTAATATGCCTAGATACTTCAAGCAAATACTAGGAGAACATGGTCAAACAAACCTGAGGTTATAATTTAAATGCTAATAACCACATAGCACATCTTTCTTATACACTAATTAGAAAACATGAAAAAGATCTCATTTACAATAAATGCAATAATTAAATATTCCTTAGAAATACAACTACAACAGCTGCAAGAATCTATTCAGACCTTCTAGGCCTCTTAGTCTTATGCAAAGATTTATTCTGGGTCTCAACAAAGACGGCAATGAAGAGGTATCACTTGTGGGATGTTCCTGATTGACTACCTCCCAGGAAAACATGTCAGTCCTTTCTGAATTGAGTTTTTAATCCTTAATTCTGGAAATTGTTACAAGATTTTTCTCATCCTTTTCAGTATTATATTGGTTCTCGTTGTATAAAGATGTTAATTATCCAGAGTGTTCACAAATCAATAAGGAAAAAAAGATGGGCATTGTTTTAGAAAAATAAAATAGGAAACAACATATAAAAATATTTTTAAAAGGGAAGTGAATGTATGTGGGCACATGCACATACGTATACACACAGCTCAATTTCATTATCAAAGGAATTAAAAAACAAAACGATTGGATACAAATCTTTATCCATTGCATGAGCGGGTAGTTTCTAATGGGTAATTACCCTGTTTTAGCAGCAAGGTGTTCTCATTCACTCTTATCAGGGATGCATGCATCCCACTGGGGATGGTGTGGGAATGGGCTCACCTCCGACCATCTGCATTGATTCACTCTCAAGGGACAAGGAGACTCACATGCCTGTTTACACATATGCAGTGTGGCATTATTTCAACAAAGTGACAAACCAGGGAAAAACTGCTAGGCCTGCAGTAGAATAATTAAATTAAGGTATGTCCCAAAGATAGATATGTTACAGGAACACAACTTTAACAGTCATGTTTTTGAAGTCTGTTAAATGGCATTGGAAAATACACATGAAAAACCTATTCATTCAAAGTGGCACAGAGCAAAGCCACCCACAGAAAGCAGGCATTGTAAGGTGGGAGACGCAGGAAAATAGACCTAAATATCAACACTCATTTTCACTTATTATCATTTCCTTCTTTGTATATTTTTGCCATCTGAAACACATTTTTTTTTTTTTTTTTTTTTAGGTCAGGAAAAAGCATTAACATTGTAAAAGGAGGGTTTTGCATTCTTCAAAGATAACCAACACAAATACAGGTACAGCCTGTCCCCCAGGCACTCCTGACTGAGCTATTATCCACATAGAGCACTAGAAAAACACTAATATTACTCACACATTATGGTGTCCTACTTTACAAGAGCCTATTTTGCTGTGCAAATTTATCTCAGAAGAGAAAATTGCATGTGCCCATATGCTCTGATGCAGCAATCTCAACAATGAATTAAAGGCCGAATCTAGGTGCTTATATAACCCAGTTAAAATTGGGAGCGCTTGTATGAGGAGACTCAATTATCTCTGTTACAATGAACCCTTATTTCTCTGCTGGGTGAGAGGCATCTGTCAAAGATAAATTCCTGTCCGTTTTCAGATTCTCTTTATCCTCCCTAACAAAAACCAGCCCAGTAAAATGACAGTTGAGATGCACAAAACCAGTGTGTTCAGACTTCCTGAGAACCTTGTCTTGAAATTAGAAGTTAAATTCCTGACCTATATCAACCTTAACAAACACATTCCTCTTCAGTAAACAGGCACACATTGATTGCAGGGTACTTTAGGATAAAATCAAGACCCGGAGTCTGTGTATTCCTTTCATGAGTGTACAACTAGACCGGTTTTATTTTCCAGTTGGTATTTAGCAAGGAAATCTGGAGCCTGCTTATCTTTCAAGCCTTATCTCCCACCCAGTGTCTACCCGTCCCTGAAGACCAAAGCCAGATTCCTGGCATACATGCTATCCTTTCATGTCCACGCCTTGCTTAGGCCCCTCATCCCCTATAACTTGGACCCTTTGAGGCCTAGTCCGGACACTTTCAGGAAGCCTGCTTCAGTCTAACTGGAAAGCATCCTTCCTGAGAACCTCCACAGATCTCACATATTTTCAAAGGATCTCTGCAGAGTCCCTTGGTGATACCATGAGAAGGTTACTACTGGAGACATTCAGAGTGGAGTCCCAGCGTCCACTCTTGACTAGATATGCCACAGGGGCTTAACTCCCGATGCTCAGGCTTCCTGCCTGTTTTTGAGAACATTAAACAATAAAACCCACAAATGAATGCTGCCTTCCATCAATGAATCCTGTCACATAGTAATTTTTAGCACACCCACACCCACCCACCCACCCACCCACACACACACACACACACACACACACACACACACACACACACAGAAAGAGAGAATTAGTCATGTGTGTACATGCACAGCTACAAACCCCATGGGAGCAGAGATGTTCCCTCAGCCTTCTAGTCTCTCACCACTGACTTATGCAACCTGTGTGTATGCAGAAGTCATTAGAAAAGGGAGTAGTATATTCAAATATCCAAAACACTGAAATGGTGTGTCACAAAGTATTTTTTTTTAAAGAAATGAGAATAATTAGGGCATCAGATAGCATTTCTCTGAGAGTAACTAATTGCAAACAGACATATCAATGACCCAGGTCCCTGCGAACAGGTCAGTAAATGTGCAGGGTGAGCAGTTTCACCACTGGTCAAGCTGTTAGTCTCCTATTTACCTTCCAGCCTTTGGATCTCCTCAGCTGTCACTTCCAGGGTTTGATCTGACAGGGAAGCAACTTGAATGACCTGATTGAAAAGAATGAAATGTGTAGATGTGTACATATTTTTCTTTTAAACACAGGCGGTTCTGTCTTTTACAAAAGTCTGGGAAACATCAAAAGCTATCTTGCTTTAAGAAGCTGTAGTGTCCTGACTGGCAAATCTTACTGAATTTCAGGCCTGACTCAACCATCATGGTGGTAATTATACCACAGATGAATGTTCCAGAAAAAAAAAAAAAACCCAAAAATTCACTTAAAACTTTATACACACACAGCGAAAGAAACAAACAAGTAAATAAACATCATTAGGCAAGAAACATCAATAAGAGTTTAAATCCACATCTGTGTAAGAGACTGATTCAGCATAACATAGGAAGTATTCCTTGAAAACATGATACTGACCTATAATAGCACAGAATGTATGGATAGTTCTCCACACAACTGGAAAATAAAAGGACTTCTGAATATTCTGAGTATCTACTGACTGGATTTTGGAACACAGTGATTTTTTTTTTCTTTTGTGGTTTTTCAAGACAGGGTTTCTCTGTGTAGCTTTGTAGACCAGCTTACAGAGATCCGCCTGCCTCTGCCTCCCGAGTGCTGGGATTAAAGGCGTGTGCCACCACCGACTGGCTCAGAGTGCTCATTTTTAAAGCTCTGTAGCCCCAAATCCAACTTGAGTCCCATCAACAGACCTCTTGTTTGGGGGTCACAGATACACCTTATCCATTATATTTCAGTGAAGGGAGACAATGCCTCACCCGAAGTAAGCAAAAAATCTCATAGCAAAACAGTTCAGAATGTTCAGGGACAGAACAAGGGAGTTACTTGTCTTAAAAAAAAAAAAAAAAAAAACAAACAATCTAGAATTGAAAATTCTAGATTCTAAACATTAAGTGTACAAAGTAAAACCTAAGGGTTATTAAAAATAGAATGGAGATGTATTTATTTTATGGAACTCTCATTAAAAAGAGAAAAATTTCATGCCATCCTTTTGTGAATATCACCCCCATGGACACCAATTCATCCCCTTATAAGAAGGGCCTTGCAAAAAAAAAAAAAAAAAAAAAAAAAAGATACCTAGAATACGCCCATAGAACAGCATAGATTTGCCCTTTTCAATAGAAAGACCATTAAACTTACCAGCTGGGCAAATGTGGTAACTTTTAGTCTCTTGAAAAGTTCATCTTTCTTGTATCTATAATCTGAAAGAGCAGAATACAGCATGCATTTATGTCGGTTCATTTTGGAATCTTTGGGCTGTTCTTTCTAGTTATCAAGTTATATGGTGTCGCTTTCAAATTATGAGTGTGCTTTAACACATCATCTGATCTTCACAGGGTGCTCAGAGAGGCAATCTGCAGTTCTTACCACTCCCCTATGCCTGGCCACCTGAAGAGCTCTCCTTTTACTAAGTTGTCTCTCCGCTATGGCCATGCTGTGTAGCATGCACTCATGTGAGGGGCTTCAAGTCCTTTTCAGAACAAAGCAAGGGATAACCGGCTACGTTTTACAGATGGTGAGAGAGACTCAGAAGAGCTGAGTTGCCCCAGGCCAAGCAGCTGGTGAGGCATCTTTACCCTGCTCTCCTGACTCTGACTTCAAACAGTCCCGGGGTTGTGGACTGTGTCAGAGACACCAGACATCGTGTGTGTGTGTGTGTGTGTGTGTGTGTGTGTGTGTGTGTGTGCGTGCGTGCGTGCGTGCGTGCTGGGTGCAAGGTTATGATGATGGGGCCTAATAACATAATATAATGGTAGTTTCTTTAAAACATCGACCTAGTCAGTTTTTCACGAGGAAAGTTCTGGAGGGCTGCTGTACAACAGAACACACAACACAACTGCAGTAATTGTTCACTTAAAAATGGTGCGATGGCAAATTAGGTTCTGTGTTTTTACCAAAATGAAAATAAAATCAGATAAAAAGCAACCTAAATAATCTGTACTCAGCATTGTCTTTATAGATTTGAAATATAACTCAATGGGGGTGCTTCTGCAGAAGCTCTTTGTTGTTTTGGGTTTGTTGTGTGTGTAGTCAGTCCTGGCTGTTTTGGGATTCACTCTGTAGACCGGGCTGGCCTCCAACTTAGAAATCCACCTGCCTCTGCCTCCCCAAGTGCTGGGATCAAAGGTGTGTGCCACCACCACCTGTCAATAGCTGTTCGTGTTAGCCAGGCATGGTAGGACATTCTGTGATCCAAGCAACTGGGAGACATAGGCAGGAGGATCCTTGAGTTCAAGACCAGCCTGAACTAACAACAAGATTTTATCTTCAAACAAAGAAAAAGATGTCTTCGCATCACATTGAACAAACATTAAAAACCGGACAATCTCACCTTTCTAATATCAGCGCCAAAGATTCTCACCAGAAGCTCACTTCCTGAAATTTTTCTAACAATGATGCTAATTTTAAAGCTTGCATTGTTGAACTCTGCCCGCCTTTATCCTTCCTTCCTGTTCATGGTTTTTACACTAGTGCCCAGGACTCCTTACAGACTGTCTCATTATTTTAGAATTACTAAAGGTTAGCTGGATAATTGCCATGGCCTTCACAGAGTGTCTCATAAACCAGGGCTCCTAGCAACAAAGGAAAGGATTAAAGGTGTTTAAGATTATTTACTTGGTGTTACTAATCAGTTCCATGAATTCCCCCAAACCTCAGCACAAACTGGATGGTTACTTTGGAGGCTAATCTAAGCTTGATTTACCAAATATTTTAATAATTAGAGTCAGGAAATAATAATACCTTAAAAACTAACCATCTGTTAAATACATTATAGTTCTTTCTTGCAGGGAATTAAAACTTCTCTGTTTTAAAATGTCTTGAAGAGAGCAATTTGGCAAGTAATTATGTCTAGAAAGTTCTTAGAGCAGCTTCTATGGGATAAAATAAGTTAATAAAGGTACCTGGATGCAAATCCCAAAAGGCTGAGTAGAGTCCTCAAAAGTACAAGTGGGCTGTTTTAGTATTTCCCTCAAATTGCCATCAACCTGTCCACCTAAAGACATTTGTTTTTGTAAACTAAAATATTAATAAATTAGACAATGGAAAAGCCAAATAGCTTTCAAGGAGCTTGTATTTTGACATCTACCTACTGGTATTCTTTTGTTATTGTTACAGAGCTTGAAATACCTCTAAGTAGAAAATGTACACATTAAAATCCCATGTAGCTAAACAGAGACGATACCACATCAATATAGCAAGCTTTGCTCTATCACATAGGTTATCTTGCATGAGCCCTTGGAACCCACCACACACTGCAGCCCAGGTGCTACATACCTGGTTCTGGTTTAGGAAGGGAGCCATCAGTAGGACTTTCTGACATCATTACTCAAAGATAAAGGATCAAGTCAAAGTCTTGCGCAGAGTTATAAACTGTCTTAAAAAAGATGACTTGGACAAGTCTGTTCGTCTGTCCTCGCAAGAGCGAACACAGCTTTAAGAATGGAGCTTCTACTGTTTGGGCTTCTCTCAGACTCTGCAGGGGACAGACTACCCCAGCTCAGGCTCACTATCAAGCTGTGCTTGTCCAGTGAGTGTGGGGATGAGTTGGCCTCTCTCGAGTTACTGGGAGGACAGAGGCCTGACTATCTAGGATGGTTCACACTGGGTCCAACTAGTGTCATCTAACCTCCAGGTCCCAAGAATGGGCTTTGTCAATGATCAATAGCAGAGAGCATCTTTTTTCCCAGGGTTCTGTTAAAACGCGTTATTAGCAAAGAAAAGGAAGTTGAACTCACAGAGGAAGACAAATCAAAGACAGTAACAGAACAAGGTTTGTGGTTTCACAGACAGATGTGGCATCTGAGGTGAGGCCAGCAGAGAGCTGGGTCTAGAATGTCAAGAAACAAGGTAGCATTCTCTTCCCTTTAGACCCAAGAGAACACTTGCAACAGAAAGTGAGGGTGTGTGTGTGTGTGGTGGTGGTGGGGGGGGGGGGAGGAAACAGCTTCTAAAACGTAGGTGCCAAACCAGAATCTAAAGTGCTTCTGTGGGGATGAGCACAAAGCATTGGGTGGATAAGAGGGGCCCATGACTTCTAAGGAAGGAAGGAGGGAGCATGCTCAGGGATTCAATTCCAAGAACGGTTCTTTGAGGGGGACAGTCTCCATTGAAGTGTAGAGATGCTGGAAATCACACTGTACTCTTAAGAAATGCTTTAAAGTAAGGTTTAGATGATCTGGGTGGGACAGATCCTGGTAAGGACATGTGAGGTGAGCTGACATCTAGCTTCAAATGGAAGGGAGCTCAAGAGGCCACAAATCCAAACAGAAGCAGGCCGGCCGGATGCTGAACTGAGGACAGCAGGACAGTGCGGTGAGTAAACAAGATCTTCTTCTTTCATAGTTTAATACATTGTATGTATTATTTAATATTATTTAATGTTATATATATACATATATATGTATATATATATATATTATAAAATGTCTATGGAACTGGGTCTTTAGATGAGTGTAGCAAATAAAGAGGTTGAAAGCTGCCCCAAGGCCACATCTCCTGTGGGTTTCCTACCCCGCACAATTCCTGAGCTGAGCCGGGGTAAGAGTGCCTCTTCCTGTTAGCCAAACACCCTGGCCCTGCCCTCCCCTATTTTACACAAAATGAACCCATCTCAGAAAACAGATGTCTCCGCACCTTCTTTAATTCTGGCCTCAACACGTTCGTTTCATATCGACTGGTTTTGGATACAGATTAAAAATTGACGATTTTCTGGGAGGGCAGTGCATTCAGGGACCAGCCAGATATCTCTGCAGAAGATTAGCTTCTAAAAGGGATCTGTGTGAAATATGGTTTTTAATTAAAAGAAAACAGAGTGCAGTGAATGGCTAATGTAGAATGCTAAGGACAAGGCTTCCTCAGACCTCTCAGTCCTTCACGGACATTCACCAGTGAATACTTATAAGAACGTTATGAAGAGGGCTATTATTACCCTACCTCAGGTATGGACCAAACAAGAACACTGAGCACTAGAACAAAAGCCCACAACGACTGCAGTGCAACGGAACCAGAAGCCTGGGCTGTGGCTGTGTCCACACGCTAACATTAAAATCCCCTCCACGATGTACGCTGAGTAGACACAGGGTGCCTGATGTCCCCAAGCTCCTGTAGGGCTCACCTGGCCCCCACAGCCCTCCACACGCGGCAGCTGTGGATTGTGGTGGCCAGCTGATAGACGACTACAGAGCTCCATCATTTCTCCCAAGCCATCAATCCTGGTACTCACTTTTCTTAATCTCTTCTAGCTTCTCAATGTATTTGGTCATACTGTTACCTAGAAAGAGAAGACAAATCTTAGGTATGCTTTACTGTTGCAGAGCGAGTACCAATGTGAAGTCGGGTTGAGAGTACGCATCCCCGCATCAGCTAAAGAAACAGAACCTAGGAAATGCTCTGGCCCACTGTGTTCAAGCCCATCAATCGCAGTCTCAGGCAGTGCAGACACTCGTTTACGGCCTGCATTCCCTTGTGCTACCCTTTTAGAGTCAGAGGTTTCTTCCTCCTTAGGCCCCATAGCCCTTTGTGGTTAGACAGACGGAGGAAGGCGAAGAACGAAGCAATCATCTTTGAATGTCTAAAGTCTGCCTTTGTGGCTGCCCAAGCAATCTTTCCGCTCTGCTTTGTCTCTGTGGTTTCTCCTCCTCCACCATGGACTCCAGTGTTCATGCTGATGCGGCAGCCCGAACCAGACCACACAGTTTGGGCACCAGTACTCACCATGGACTTGGCGTGCTGACGTTCCCACTGCTGTGGAGCACGCCTGACCCTCATGTTTCATGGTCTGGTTCTATAATACCCAGCTCAAGCCAAGGTGGTTTGGAGCATGTTCATGCTTTAAAACTGGTCCATGATGATTCTGGTTTCCAAATGAATGAAATTCTAGCTTTCAAGCCAGGGCTATTATTATTATTTTTTTTTTTTAAAACTGAGTGTGCTGCAATTTGATTTGATTCAACATGGCAAGTTCTATTTTGCACCTAAACATGGTAAATGAAAAACATTCAAAATAATTTCTCATTTCTACAGTTTTGCTCCTCTTTAAACCCTGGGATGCAGACTAACTTCAGATCAAAGCAATGCTTTCAGTGAGTGGCATCAACTACTGTTTCAACAGTATTCTGAATTTTTATTCATGTTTGGGTCAGAGACTGAGAGAGAAAAAGCCTGTTTTAAATGTGTTTTCAAATTAATACCATACTTAGTTATTAAAAATTTACCATGAATTCATCACAGAATAAACACCTACTGTTTTAGGTTTATTTTTAATTATTATTGTTACTTTTGTCTGTTTTTATCTTAGGACACACTATCAGGATGGGAAGGGTGCAGTGCACCCCTAAACTCAGATGGTAACCTTCCAGAATCTCAGTGAGAAATCGGGGCTGCTAAGGAGGCCTGAGGCTGGCTCAAGAGACCCTGATTATGTTTCAGAAGACCTTCCCAAATCACCAAGAACCAGACAAGAACCAAATACAGTCTGTTTTAGGAGCTTTGGGTTTTTCTTTCTTGGGTCAAAGCTTTCTTCTTCCGTTTGTGGGGAGGATATATAGAGGGAGAGAAAGAAAGCACCGAGACCCCTTAAATGTCCATAATAAGCCTTTTGACCCGGGGAGTTGACCCGGGAATTCCACAGCAGAGACCATCAGTTCTTGTGGGCCCCACCCTCCTCCCTACTGCAGCTCTGAGCTCAAGTGTGGACTTGCCAGTCAACACACCGAGGTTTTGCAGAAAACGCCAATTCGTTTGCTGTTCGGCATCTTACAGTCTTATCCTTAAAACACTCAACACGAGAGCCCTAGTGACAGGTCCCTTCCTCTGTCTCCTACGCCGTATGTGGCTGAAGTGGCAGTTTCTTTAGGTTTCGGGGAGCTTCAGGCAATCTACTCAGAAAACTGGGAGGGAAAAACAAACAAACAAACAAAAAACACCTCATCAATTTGTTCGCAATGCAGCAGCTTACCAATTATCTGAGGGTTAGCGTTCCCAACCTCCTGGCTTCCAGTGCGGTTCACTGGTGTTTTATTCTAACTGGTAGTGGAGACTGAACCCCAGGTTTCCTGCATGCTAGGCAAGGAGTCCACCCTATGCAACAATCACAACCCTCTTGTGTATTAAAAACATTGCAGCCTGCGGGGAATGTTCCTTCTTTGATCACGGAGCCATTTGGTTGCTACAAATTCCCTGAGGAATGGAAAACAACAGCCAGATCCATTTATTTACTCTCTTATTAAAATGCTGTAGTCACAACTAATACTGTTTCTACTAACGAAGTATCTAAAATGTATATATGTATGTACCTATTTCTTTAAATTTCTGCAGTACTGGGGATTGAATCCGGGGCCGTTTGCATACTAAGTCAGCGCTCTACCACTAAGCTGTAATTAATTCTTCACTATGCCGTTTCCTGTAGGTTTGCACAGCACTGCATCTTATATCAACAGACCTCCACCAGCGTGCTCAGAGGCAAGGGCTATAACACCATCATTTGTTTTTCTCACTGAAGGAAAAGGCAGAGAAACAAAAACTTCTTGCGCTTCTACAAAAATTTGGCAAAATTATGAACGAATTTAAGAGGGCTAGTAACAAAAGGCTCTTTTCTTTATAGGCAGGTACGGAGGAGGAAAGAGAGTGTAGGGTTTCTATACTGCTTCAGCTGGAGAAGGGAGACCGTAGGAGAGCCGCCGCTGGCCCCTTGTAAATAATTGGAGTAAGTATGCAAAGTGGCATTTTACCATGCATCTTATAGTGGTGTGTCAAACAAGTGCTTTGTCTTACTACATCTAATTACAACAAAGTGACTGGAAATGGACGAGCTTCACAGGCCATTTATTTACAAACATGGCTTTTATACCAAAGGCGCCTGGAAAGAGAACTAATCTTTTAAGACTTTCTGAAAGTCTTATTGCCAAATTTTCCTAAATAAGACTAATTAAAAAGCCAAACAGAGCAAAATAAAAGCTGAGTGGCTGTCCACTGCCCAATTTGAGCTCTGAGCTCTGGTAAGGAAGATGCCAGCAGCTTGCCGACTTCCAATGCGGTCTTAATGGCTAACCTTGAGCTCTGCTAGCCTTCATTTTCTGAAGTCCCTGCACAGGTTTCCCAGCAGGCAGTGTGGCCTTTCCCTCCCCTCATTCCTACAGCAAGCTGCTTGCCTCTCACAAGGCATACATCACTGACTAGACTGCCTTATCTACCTTCTTTTACAGAGAGCCCAGGGCTATTTATCTGTGCACATCCACACACACTATCTTTTTTTCCTGTGTCGAGTGGAGGAGACACTAAAAAAAAAAAACACTAGCTGGATGAAATACACTACAAAACTCTATCGTTTGAAAAGTCCTTAGAGAAAGTCATTTTATAATGTAAACAATCACATCCTGATTTGGCTTGAGTTTCATATAGCTGATCCTCTGATTTCCTTTAAATGATGTGCAACTTGATTGATACACAATTATGTTACAGAGTACAAATGCCAGCCATCATTCAGGCAACCTAGAAACGCCTAAGGTGCTATTTAGCTTCTACCTTGTTTACCACTGAAGTTGCAATGAAAGATATCTAACAAGAGTTCCACAACTTGAATCAAGAGAAAGAAACAACGCAACTCTATCAGTAGCTCCATGCAAAGACAGAATAGAATCGATTCATGGAGCGACTCACTGCTTTGATTTTCCCCCCATTGTGTTCCTATAATTTAATAACGTTATTTGTACTGAGCATGTAACAAAAGCAAATGACTCTGAGCAGCAGCAATCTAGAGAGGGTAAGATTTATAAGGCAGGAATTCAGTTGCTAAGAGACAGCTCCACGGCTTTATTTTTTCTTCAACATTTCCCTCCTCTATGGAGAAGTTCTTTTGGCTCTCTCTGAAGGAGCAGGAAGCGTGAAAGGAGGTACAGTGGCCCTTTGTTAACCCAGATCGGTTCTATGCGGGTCTACAGCTTTCTGGTTTGTAAAAGCCTTTCACATCCATTCCCCCTTTGACGTAAGAGACAAATCAAATACCAAAAGAAAATGAAGCACATGTAGCCTGTAATGAGCTTGACTGCTTAAGATCAAAACTATTAGCGAATAATCAGGGAAAGTAGAGACTAAGGGAAAGAAAAGGAAATGATTAGTTGTGCAGATGTAACAAAAGGAAGGTGACATCCACAAAAAAAAAAAAAAAAAAAAAAAAATCATGCTAGAAAAGACCAGGGGGAGGAGGGGGCTACAGGGTTTGGAAAAGCTAAAGAAACTCAATTAGACTGGAAATAGAAGTCAGAGAACAATGCAGCAACGATGAAAGACAGGCGAACACAGGAAGAGCCCAGTGCTTTAGACAGTGTCCCTTAACAGAGCCTGTGGAGCTGCAGAGTCCTGCCGCTGGGACTGAGCAAAACGCAGGGGTGCCTCAGAAGCCAGCCCACTCCAGGCACAGTCTGGCAATGGTGGGGACTGGAAAGATATGCCTAGGCGTCTATGAAACAAAGGGAATACTGGAAGGTCAGCATAATTCTGCTGTCCGCCACAGCTGTACCGCAGGAGCATAGACACAAAACCTTCAGGAGGAAGGGACCACCCTTTCAGAGTTCTTGATTGTGTGTGTGTGTGTGTGTGTGTGTGTGTGTGTGTGTGTGTGTGAGAGAGAGAGAGAGAGAGAGAGAGAGAGACTCTAAATTGATCAGTTTTATAAACAAAGATTAAAGGCTCGCCTGTTTAGCCTAGGAATGAGAGCTGCTCACTCATTCTGTCTATTTCCATGGCTCTGGCTGCAGAGCTTAAAAACACTCAAAGGTGAGACAGTCTTCCTGCAGCTCGGGCTCTAAAGTCCCTCTTGGTTTTTTTCTTCAGCAGGACTCCTCAACATTTTTACCTACGGCAATGATAACCTTTGAGCAAAATGATGTGTTTAGGGCTCCTGTAGGCCTTGATAGCCTCCAAAGGTTGTACATCTTAGCATATAACCCAGTGGTTTGGTTTTGTACACCAGAGAGCTAAGTCACAAAAGTACATGGAAATGTAAACGTTAAAGATGTCTTCCTGAAGTTGATTGATGGCTACATGTGAAACTCGCGTGCTCTCTCTCTCTCTCTCTCTCTCTCTCTCACACACACACACACACACACACACACACACAAAGCAAATGCTAAAATAGGATTTTTCTCCCACACCGACTATAAAATACTTGGGGGGTTGAAACAGTGAGGTACATTGTGGCCCTTCCAGAAACTATTACAAAACTAGTTTTGAGAGACTTTTGCTTCTAGGAAAGTTGGGTAGATGTAATTTATTCCTCCAGTTAAATCCCACAAAAACCCCAGACAACCCACAGCGCAGGAGCATACATCTGAAAGTCATATTTCTGTTAAGAGTCTAGTATCCAGTATAAACAAAGAACTTATAATGTGGAAAAATAACCCGTCTTAAAGTGAGCAAATGATCTGAATAGACATTTTTCCATAGGAAATATGCAAGTGCCAAAAAGCACACAAAAAGGGTGTTCATTATTAGCCATTAGGGACACAAATTAAAGTCACAAGAAGATACTTTGCGCCCATGATGGTGGACACAACCAAGATGATGGACAAAGCAATGGCGGAATATGGAGAGGACACAGCCCTCTTGCACTACTGATGGTGAAGTGGTGTGGCTTGGTTAGAAAGTTTGGCATGTTCTCAGGAAAAAAAAAAAAAGGTATCGTATGACCAGTAATTCAACTCCTCTCTATATATCCAAGAGAACTGGGAACACGTGTACACAAAAAACTTGCATACTTGCATATATTGATGTTCTTAGACACAAAGTATGAGTAACCCAAATGTATATCAACTGGTGAGTAGAGAAACAAATTATAGAACACCTGCACAATAGGACATTCTTTGGCAATAAAAAGGAATGAAGTACTGACATATTCTGTGGCATGGAGAAACCTTAAATATATTAAATATATTAGACTACGTTAAAGGGAACAGACACAAGAGATCACATACTATACAACTCCACATAGATGAATGGTCAGATTAGGCAAATCCACAGGAACAGAAAACAGATCAATAGTGCTCAACTTAGTCAAAATGTTCTCTCCAAGTTGATAAATAATTTCTATTAAAAACCAGCCCTTTTGCCAGGTGTGGTGGTGCAGTGCACACTTTTAATCCCAGCACTCAGGTGGATCTATGCGAGTTCAAGGCCAGCCTGTTCTACAAAGTATTCCAGGATAGCTAGAGCTATTATACAGAAGAACTCTGTCTCAAAAAACCCAAAACAAAACAAAAATCAGCCCTTTTGTAAAAGTAAAGAAAATGATTCTAAAATTTATATCGAAAAGCAAAGAAATTAGAAGAGTTAAAATAATTTTTAAAGAAAAACAGAATGGGAATAATAAGACTCACCAATTCCAAGTATCTAGTTTACTAAGCAGCTACATTAATCAGGACTGTGGTATTGGCAAAAGGCTACATAAATAGATCAAGGGAACAAAACAGAGACCTGGAAATAAACCCACATAAATATTCTACTGACTGTTGACAAAGATGAAGATGCCCAGAGCAGTCGGATACCCTAAATTAGAAAGCTAATCTTCATCTCAGTCACTGTCTTTTACATAAAAGCAGTTCGAAATGTACCATGGACTTAAATGTAAAACCTGCAAACTTTCAGAAAAAAAAAAATCATGATAGAAAGTGTCTCTGGGATGTAGCTTAGGTCAAGAGTTCTTAAAGTGGATGATGGAATTATGATTACCAAAAGGAAACAGATAAAAAACGAACCTCATCAAGATAAAAAGGTTTTCTTCTTCAAAGACTGTCAGGAGGAGGAAAAGACAAGTTACAGCTGGAGAAAGGATGCTTGCAAACCACGCCTCTCACAAAGGATGGGCATCTAGGACATACAAGAAACTGGGAATACAATGATAAAAATGCAAGTAACCTGGTCAGCATAGGCATTTCAGCAAACAAGGAGGACTGAAGACAAGCACACGTACACAAAGACATTCATCATCAGCCAGCGGGCAAGTTTAAATGTAATGCTATCCTACGTCAGACCTTATCAGTATGGGAAAATACAAAAATGGTGACTGCAACAAATGCAGGTGAAGATGTGGAGAAAATGATCACCCATCCACTGCTGGTGGGGATGTGCAACTGTACAGCCACTTTGGAAAAGAGTTTGACAGTTTCTTAAACCTGGGAGGCAGAGGCAGGAAGATCAGGAGTTCAAGGCCAGCCTTAGTTATAAAAGGAGAACGAGGCTAGTCTGGCATACCTGAGACTCTGTCTAAAAAAGAGATTAAAAAAAAAAAAAAAAAGCAAATCAAGTCAAGCTACAATATGACCTAGCAACTGTACCTCTAGGCATTTATTCCAGAAAAACTAAGACTTGTTCACACAAAAATCTGTCAATGAGCGCCTACAACACTATTTTTATTTTGTATCTACCTCCCAATTCAACTAGCGAGTGATTAACTCAAGTACAGCCATACCAGGGAATACTAGTCAATAACACAAATGAATAAAATGCTGTTACACAAACTTGACGCTCCAGAGAATTCTGCCCAATGCAAAACGTCCATCCAGGCTGGACAAGCACGGCTCTATGGTAGAGGAATAACCTAGCATGTTTAAGGTCCTGTGTTTACTCCACACATGTATAAAAGGAAGGAAAAGAGAGAAACAGCTGTAGCACTAAAAAAAAAAAGAAAAAAAAAGACAAACTGAGAGCCTGGATTAGCAGTTATTAAAAAATTAGCAGTTGTGAAGATTAAAGAGGGATGGGGTGGAAAGTAGAGAGGGCTACTAAGGGGCAACATGGGAACCTTTGTGGGGAGGGCAGTATTCTACAGCTTGGCTGCACATGTCAATGCTGTTACCACCATAGCAATACTGCAGGCGGAGAGAAACGGAGTGTGTGGGACTCCCATTTCGTTTCTTACAAACGCATCTGCATCCACAATTATTTCAAAACAAAAAGCTTAATTAACAAAAAGCAGTTTAAAACTCCTGGGGTATAAAAGGATTCCGGCATTTAATGTGCACTATAAAATCAGATGCTATGCATTGCATTAAAAATTAAAATTAATTTCAGATACCATTATTAAGTCAAATTTTGGTTATGGGTTGAATTGAAGAGATAGAAAGGGGTGGGAAAATTCCTATTTGACTTCCATGAGAAAAATGTTACAAAGGTATAGATAAACCAAATGGCTGAAATAAATCTGGGCTCTTAAATCTTATTCGTTTGTTTGTTTATTGGGAAACAAGAAATATAACCCAAGGCCTAGCAAATGCTAGACCTGCACTGTAACCACTGAGCTATACCCCCATTCATTTAAAAGACAAAATAATTTGTTAGTGATAGATAGATAGATCTCTTTGAGTTCAAGGCCAGTTCCATGTCACTTAGGGATTTGTAGCACAAAAATGTACAGGGGTAAAAAGATTTTGACTGAAATTCATTTCTTTACTATGGTCTTTAACAGAACAGATGAGCCCTTTACAAAACTATGGCACTGAGAGTCTTCCAGGGAAGCGGATGACCTGTCATTGAGGGAAGATGCTGAGGACATTGTGAAGAAACATTTGGGAGGAAACACAGGATAGGAAGTTGTCTAAGGGCCAGAGCACCAGGATTGAAACCCACTCTCCGGTGTTGAGTTCCTCACCTGCCAACAACCCTAGTTTTCAATCCCCTTCACTGAAAGCTGAGTGCATCACAAAATCTCCAGGTCACAATTTTCTCCTCTGAAACAGAAATACTATTTCCACTCATCCATCACACAGGCCATGTGCAATAACAGATATCTGTGTAGCATGAGAATATTGCAAAGAAATAGCACGTGCAACTCTGGTACATTGAAAACACTTGCATCTATGCTAGTGAGGAAATGCAGAACGGAAGAGTGTGGTTTTGAAGGAGACCAGGGGAAGGGAGCAATGATTTAAACAGAGCCAACACTCCCCTTCTCTTTCCTCAGGTGTCTTCAGATACTGCAGGAAAATTATGACTTGCGGGGCAAAGGCTGAAGGAAACAGAGACAAACAACCCAAACCTCACAAGACTGCAGACCCACAGGGATCTGGACAGCAGCATCAGCAGAACTTGGAAAGATGCGGACAGCATGGAAATTAGCAAGGCGTTCCTGCACCTGCTTTCACCTAAGGGCAGCACTAATTCAATCTCGGCTGGTATTTAGTTACTCATTCAAGTCGGCAGGCCTCCACTTGAGTCTTGGTGCTCTAATTGCAAAAGCCACAACCCACAGCCATCCTCCTATCTAGCAGGGTCCACACGTTTACATGCAGTCAGCACTGTGCAAACACTGGACTGAGCAAACATGCACATGTATAACCCATTGCTGTCAGTTTGATGGAGTACACTTAAGGTGCTCCAGAATGGAGTGTGACCTCCTGATATTTACTCAGCGTCAGCCCTGTAACTTACTGAACAATGGCTTCAAGCTTCAATTCCTAGAATTTCCTTTTTTTTTTTTTTTTTTTTTTTTTTTTAATTTAGATGCTTTCTAATGGGGTAAGCAATGATAACTGAACTTATGTGAGTGTGAAATTTTACTGATAATCTGAAAAGCATCGTTCAAAGACATCAGGCAAGACAATAAGAAATTTCCAGTTATGGCTGACTCCAGTTTGATGGGCACTTCCTTGTCAATCAATAGCTATTAGGTTTTTACAATTCTGTTTCTGACTTTTACTTACCAGTATCCAGTCTTGACTTGATGTGTTGGTACCTTGGGTTCTGTGGTATCCGTCTGGTCAGATACTACAAAAGAAGACAAGTCACAAGGAAGGGGTTAATGTGGGGGCCGTGGTGGGGCAGAGGGACACACACTGAAATTTCAGACTCTAACGGCGAACAGGATCGACTGTCCCTTACAGAAAGGGCTCTGCAGTATGACATCTTCTGCAGTGGAGGCAGTTACCTTGTTTCTACATTTTATCAAACTAATCTCCAAGTACTGTGTGCTAAGGCAAAACAACACAAAACAAAACCCTTAGGAAGGATTTCTTCCAATGAGGTAGCTATGCTGTTCTCTTTTTAATGTCATTCTTTTTATAATGGCTTCAGGACCGTCTCCTCTGGACACTCCCAGGTCTTGTCCCCAGCTCCCTACAGAATGGCAGGCGGGATCCAGATGCTCCAGATGCTGGCAGGCCAGGGACCCTCTGGCAGGCTCTCTGGGGTTCCACAGATGCCCCTGCCATGGCATCTGCTCTGTGGCAGCTGAGGCTCATGCTGGGCTCCGGGTGAGCTTATGGTCGGCAGAGATGTCTATGTCAGACTTGCCGTGTGTTGTGCTGTGTTCTGGTAGTTAACCCTTGGAATCCAAGTGCAGACAATCCCCATATTAAATTTCCGAGGTGAATGCAAAGAGTCACTAAGGAAAGGTTAGCTCAGCATAAAGAATTTCCTCACTCCGGCTTCCCTCTGGTTTCTACGGATATGAAAAGCAGCTGTACCCTTCAACCTTCATCTCCTGCATGTGCTCCCATGTTGCACTGGTAGGGACTGTCCCTCCTAATGTTGGGCAGATAACTGCCGAAAGTGCCTTTCCTTAACTCTTTGGCAAAACCTTTGTCCACTGGGAAGCTGCCTGAAGCAGAAATAGGCACTCTCCCCGTGGCCTGCAGAATACGGAACCCCATCTCATCCTCTACAACAAGATCTTTCCCCCTAGTTTGGGATTTTTCTCATGTTTGTGGGACCTAGCATGCCAAGTCCATTTGTTATTGCTACAGTCAATCAATGATCATTTGTCGAGGACTGAACCACACTACCCGGTTCCTAAGGAGAGAAGGTCAAACTTACAAAGACTGGACTACTTGCCTTAGAAAGCTTGCTGTTGGGAGGACTGGGAAATAAATCACAGGCATCGGAATGCCATTTTGATGGCCTACAAAACACAGAAACAGCCTAGGAGACTTCTATCATTTATGTAATACCTGCTGGACTACATTTTGGATTTCAGAGCCCAAGAAGAATTTTTAAACCCTGAGGGTAGTACAGCCAGAGAGATGACTTGGTGGGTAAAGGCGTTTAACCCGATGGCCTGCATTCCATCCCTAGGACCAACTCCAGAGCGTTGTCCTAGAGTTATAACACCAACACCATGGCATGTTCGCATGTGCATATACACAACGTAATTTTTAAAAACTAACAAAACAAAAAAACAAAATAACAACAACAAAAAAAACTGGGGGTACCTACACAGAATTATCCAGTTTTAATTTTTAAAAATCTGCCAAGTAAGTACATACAATCCTTACAACTTCCACTTGTTGTTTTATTTTTTAAGGTATGTTTATTTTTTAGTTAAATTAAATTTTAAATGATATAACACAAACTATCTGCTATTTTTTTTTTTTCAGAACTGAGGATCAAACCCAGCGCCTCTCATATGCTAGGCAACCATACTATATACCACTACACTCCTAGGCCTAACATCTGCTATTTCAATTACCTAAAAGGTTAAAAAAAAACCCTCAGGGTAAAAAGGCCAGTCCCTTCATGTTATTAAAAAGCCAATGACGTTGTCTGTGTTTTTCATTTCACACCAGGCAAGTAAAACCTTTATTATGAACATGGAGCATTAGTCCTCTGCTAGTGTTTGCAATCACTGAGCTGGCTTAGTCTCAAGGAAATAAAAAGGTGGAAAATGCAGTTCCCGTTGTGATCAGCAATGGCTATTTGGAAGAGCAAGCAAGTGCGATGCCAGCCAGGTCACCTTCCCCAGAGAAGGTTCTTAAGAGAAAGAACGGCATGCAAACATGGAGAGACATGGAGAGAGACTGAAGCCCAAGTTCCCAGAGGCAGACAGGATCATGAAAAATTAAACATCAAACTAGGCCCAGCGAGTATCACACACACACTCACACACACACACTCACACTCACACACACATCACACACTCACACACACACTCACACACACACTCACTCACTCACACACACACACTCACACACACACTCAAACACACACACACTCACACACTCACACACACACTCACACACACACACTCACACACACACACACTCACACACACTCACACACACTCACACACACTCACACACACACTCACACACACACTCAAACACACACACTCACACTCTCACACACACACTCTCACACACACACACACTCACACACACACTCACACACACTCTCACACACACACTCTCACACACACACTCACACACACACTCACACACACACTCACACACACACTCACACACACTCACACACACTCACACACACACACTCACACACACACTCACACACACACACACACTCACACACACTCACACACTCACACACACTCACACACACACACTCACACACACACACTCTCACACACACACTCTCACACACACACACTCACACACACACTCAGACACACACACACACACTCACACACACACACTCACACACACACACTCAGACACACACACACACACTCTCACACACACACTCTCACACACACACTCACACACACACTCACACTCTCACACACACACACTCTCACACACACACACACACACTCTCACACACACACTCTCACACACACACTCACACACACACACTCACACACTCACACACACACTCTCACACACACACTCTCACACACACACACACTCACACACACACACACTTATCTTATGCTGAGGGACTTTCCCCCTAGTCTATATTTTTATCCTTTCTATACCCCACTTCCTGTTTTTACTTTTGCTTTGTTTCCTAGCAAAGCTTCTTTTGAAAAATTCCAGGCTAGTCTCTGCTGAACCATGGAGATTTGTCCATCCCTCAGCCAAATAGCTGAGCCGCGAGGGTGCCTCTGGGGACCAGGTGTGGTGGCGGCAGAGTGATGAGGGGAGGGAGTGTGGACAGCTGCAGCTGCTGAGACCTCCCCGCCCCCGGTTTTCCCTTACATGGGCTAATGAGAAATCCATATGCCGCTGGAGAAAAATGTCAGATTTCTTTTCCGAGTTCTCATTTCTCTTCAATTTCTTAGTCCTTTCTAGGGCCTGAAGTGACAGTAAACTCCCTGGGCTACATGGCCAGCAGAATGCCCTAGGCTCTGGGGAAGAGCCACACTTTCTTCCTGAAAACTCCTGCCTTGGGATGGCTGTTTCTTGACCTACTGACCAACTGGTTTTGTTTCCATGACATACACAGGCTGGAATGGCGGGAAGCGAAAGCCATTTCAAGAGAGAGACTATTCATTCCTTCTACAAGTACTCAGTGAGTGCCATTCACCCTGTGGACATTTATTACTGGTGTAGAAGAAGTGGGTCCCTATGTGGGACACAGAGGTAAAAAGAGGCCTGGCCATCAGCTCTTGCTCCCTGTGTGTCATGTGACAAGGAGCGGGAACAGAGGGGGATGGGGACACGTGAGACTAGAACCTTAACAAGACCAAGGGATTCCTAGAGATTGCTCGCTGAGCTGAGCTGAGCGCCATGGTGGCTAGCCAAGTAAAAAGGGTGGTGTGTGGGCATTACAAGGCCTCAACAATAGAAAGCTGCGGTGGACTTGAAGGCAAAGTGTAGGTGACATCTCAAGGAATCTAGTCATCACTGGAAGGCATGGGGTACTGGGACTATGACAGAACAAAGGACACTGTAGAAGCAGGGCAGGGGCAGATCACAGGGTCTTCTAGCAAAAAAACAAAAACCTAAGGCACTTGCATCCTGCCCTGTCAATCACTGGGTTCCAATCGGTGCAATTTTGCCAGCTCTGTACCTGGGGACATTTATCAACGTCTGGAGACATTTTGGGTTGCTATAACTGAGTAGTGTGTGTGTGTGTGGGGGGGTGCTGCAGGCATTTCCTAGAAGAGACAAGGGACACTGCCTAACATTTGATGAGACAAGAGCCAGCCCAGATGTCAACAGTATGGGACTTGAGAAGTCCAAGAGGAGTCACTGAGGGTTTGGGGAGGAGTGCTGGGATCTTATTTACATTTTGGAATGAACTATCTGCATACTACGGAGAATATGGTCATAGTCGAGAAAAGAGACACAGAAATCAGTTGAGAGACTTAGGCTAAGGTGATAGGAAGCCCTACAAAAGTGGCAATAGAGATCAGAAGAAGGAAGCTCCAAGCAATCTTTGAAATGTGACGCCGGGGTTGTAGCCCTGCCTATTGCCCACCCTTCCATCTTTAATGTGTAAAATTAGCACAGCTACTCATGGGCCACCATACAAAAGAGGGTAGTGGAGAAAGGCAGTGAATGATGCAGCACATATAGAAAAACATTACGTATGAAGTGTGGAGACATATTAAGTATGGGACATAGAGATCAGGAGAAAGCTGGGATAAAAAAAAAACAAATTTGGGGTTATTCGTATACAGGCAGCATATGAAGCCATGGGACTGGCCAAAATCACTCTAGGAACAGTGTCCATTAGGAAGACATTTCCCAAACTTGATAGTCAGGGGGGAAGAGCCCTGGCTGAGATTCAGAAGAGGCCAGAAAGTGGTTATGAAAATTACAGAAGAAAAGAGTTACAGGAGGAAGGAAGCAGTCAACATGGAACAATGTTGTCACATCCAAGAACAAGAGGCCAAGCAAGAACAGGCAAACAAGGATCCAGGTCAAGTGACAGAAGAGAAAACTGAATTTGGATTTACAAGTCACGACATTGTTGATGGGCCAGATGGAAGCGGTTATAGAAAAGTAAGAAGGGCAGAAGCATAGGTCAGATGTATGGGGCAGGGGAGTGGACAGATGTGAAGGGAAAGTCGACCGATGTAGGGGGTTAAGTAGACAGATGTAGGGGAGTAAGTAGACAGATGTGGGGGCTAAAAGTAGACAGATGTGGGGAGTAAGTCGACAGATGTAGGGGGTAAGTAGACAGATGTGGGGGCTAAAAGTAGACAGATGTGGGGGGAAAGTAGACAGATGTGGGGGGAAAGTAGACAGATGTGGGGGGTAAGTAGACAGATGTAGGGGGTAAGTAGACAGATGTGGGGAGTAAGTCGACAGATGTAGGGGGTAAGTAGACAGATGTGGGGGCTAAAAGTAGACAGATGTGGGGGGAAAGTAGACAGATGTGGGGGGTAAGTAGACAGATGTAGGGGGTAAGTAGACAGATGTGGGGGGTAAGTAGACAGATGTGGAGGATAAATAGACAGATGTGGGGGTAAGTAGACAGATGTGGGGGTAAGTAGACAGATGTGGGGGTAAGTAGACAGATGTGGGGGGTAAGTAGACAGATGTGGGGGGTAAGTAGACAGATGTGGGGGGTAAGTAGACAGATGTGGGGGTAAGTAGACAGATGTGGGGGGTAAGTAGAGAGATGTGGGGGGTAAGTAGACAGATGTGGAGGATAAATAGACAGATGTGGGGGTAAGTA